CGCTGGATCGCTTGTAAGTTAACAGAAATCGCCTGATGTTAAAAGCGGTACCAAGAGCACGGCTGCTGCAGCCGTGTTCTTGTTTTAACCACTTCTGCAGGCCGCCGTCTATTGAACTATTGCGGCCAGGAAATTGATCCAGGGGTCACCTGATCCCTGGATCCACCGACAAGCGCAGCCTCCCGTCTCCCACGCTGTCAGAAGCTGAATACAGAGCGTGCTGGTTACGACTTAAACCGGCACGCTGTGTGCAGCTTCTGAGAAGATACGCTATTAGCGTAGCGGGGAAGTCAGCTGTGCATTCTGCATAGCGCCCGCTACGCTAATAGTATATATTCTCAGAAGCTGCACACAGCGCGCCAGTTTAAGTAGTAACCAGCACGCTCTGTATGCATATTCTGACAGCATGAGAGACGCTTGTCTGCGCTTGTATTAAAAAAAATATATATATTTTATGTTCCAGGGGACATTTAAAAATGTCCCAGGATTTTTATTTTGAACATTTTGTCTCCTTAACCAGGAAGGTCAGTGGGGCTCCCTGGATCCTGGTTGTGGGGGGTCTGCTGTGGCTGCAGCTGCAGTGGCTCCCTCCGCCGCCTCTCTGCCACCTGCACCGGGCCGGCCAGCTTGCCATGTCACACTGCCAGGGCCACCAATTGTGGGTTTGTACTGCTGCCAAAGAATCTTCTGCATCCGACACACCTGTTCCCCCGCTGACTGTTGTGGTTCACACACTGCACACAGTATGAGATTCGGGCTGGCTGGATCAGGCAGACGCAGCCCTCTAATCAGGCACTGTAGAGGGCGTCCAGAGGACCCACTTGAGGAGCGAGCGGCGGCAGATTAGAGAGCCGGGTCTGATGCGGACGGGCTGACCGGGAGCTGCGGTGACGGCTGCATGGTCAGTATGCACCTGAGCCCGGGGCAGGCGCCCGCCCTCGCTACGCCACCGCCCAGGAGCTAGTTCTAGCTAGCTTAGTTAACGGTTTAAAAAAACAATCTGGATGTATTCCTAAATGCACAGAATAGTACTGGATATTGAGCTCTTATAGGTATATTAAGCATCAGAGATTGTTGACCCAGGGAATATCCGATTGCCTTATGGGATCAGGAAGGATATTTTTTCCCCTGTTGGAGCAAATTGAACCATGCTTTAAAGATTTTTTTTTTTATATCTCTACAGGTCGAACTCGATGGACATGTGTCTTTTTTCAACCTGACTAACTATGTAACTATGTATCAGGAGAACAGCTTCAAGCATAGTTTAACAGTAAGCAAGTCTCATTTTAAACTGTGAAGAAAAGACTTTGTGCTGCACGTTTGACAGGTGAAGCAGTTGTTCAAAAACTCTTGTCAAAATTTAAAAAAAAAGAAAAAGTGTCTTGCCTGGGCTAGGTCATTGTAAAATATTTAATATGGTAAGTAAGTTGCAATTGATCTAAGTGAATGTGGATTCCAGAATAAAAAATAAACTATTAAGTCACAAAAACACATAAACATCTATATAAATGCTGGAATCTTCTATCTTATTGTGTGATCAATACGTGAATAATCAAACAATCAATATGAACCAATCTCAGGTTTAAGAGAGAACCATAATCAGTGTATAAGTGCCCAAAATTCTTATTGCGGCATGTTATACATGGAACGTGTATTCATACACCCCACAGTGTATCAATAAATATATGTGTGACAGAAGCGCTGAGCTCACGCAGTGGGGAGTCCTCTATAACAAGCAAAACTAAACAAAAAACAAATAAAGCAACTTAGTTGCAATCCTTATATAAATGACCAGTGGGTCTAATGCTCTTACGTGTGTGTACTTAATCCCGTGAACAACAGTAGTGGTTTCAGTACCTAATCGTGAAAATATTCCTAATAATGATATTAATAATATACACACACTTATTAGTGCCGCAATGACCAAAAATATATAGAGTGATTAAACACAATTGTGTGAGATAAAGTGTACGTTCTAATTCCCCTCTCAGATGGATACACGGGGTTAAATATTTAGAACAATCCTAACAATATAACAAACAAGCACGAGATAAACAAAAATAATCTCAGCAGTATAACAAGCAGTCAATTTCTAAGGTTTTTGCAGTTTATATGAGACGGAATACAAACGGTTAGTCTCCTTCTCTCAGTGATATTTAGATGAATAGTCCGTTCATTTCCCTGGTAGATATCCTCCAAAATATATCCAACCAGTCACTGATTGAGAAAAACCGGAAACGTTCTGAGGTTCTAATAATCCATCACCTCCTTTAGTCTCCAAGTCAGGCAATCAGATGTAATTTAGCCTTATATCTTGGTTTTTCCAACGCCTCAACGCCCAGGCCGGCAGCATGTATCTATAAGTGTCTCACATGAGATACAAATGTAGAAAGGAGGCGAACCATCAAGTGCAGTAACCAAGTACAATTTATTTCTCAAAGTATACGAGTGCACTTACAGAAATCCGGATTTCGGATGTTTTACATTATATCTGGTAGATATGGACCTAACTGTATATATTGAGATTAAAGATTGAGATATATATAGCATTTAAATAATATAGGCAGATACACCATGCAGCGACTAATTAAATATATCATTCCTTGCTGTACATGTTGTATAGATAATATACAGATAAGATACAGAGTGTATTCGGACA